TTCTCATTTGTATTGTACCCTTATTGTAAAGTCAAATGAGTACTTTTTTATTCAATAAAGAAGTGTTTTAATGTGTGAATATTTCAACCAATATTGTAGGACATGGAGTGTGTGTGTGTGTGTGTGTGTGTGTGTGTGTGTGTGTGTGTGTGTGTGTTTAGAGGGGAAGATTGCAGGTGGATAGAATGGGAACAAACATTAGCATGAGTAGAGACTTTTGTGTAGCAGAAATCCTACAGGTGTCTGAGAGATAGGTGTTACAGAGTATGCTGTATACTTAAACTGTAAAAGATATTCTTGCCCATAGAAGAACTCCATTTGATTCCCAAATAGTAATAGCCTTGTGATGGCTTACTATATAAAGGCCACACTTGCAACTCTGCTTAGAAAACTTGTTAATATATTTGAGTGGCGATATCAGTGAAATGCAACAGAAGAAAAGATTATTGTTATTATTATTATTATAAAACATTTATATTTATTTTATGTGTATGAGTGTTTTGCCCACATGTCTCTGCATACCATGGTGCTGTTGGAGGCCAGAAGAGAGTGGAGAGTGTCAGATTCTCTGTAACTGGAATTACAAATGGTTGTGAGCCATCCTGTGGGTGTTAGGAACTCAACCCAGGTACTCTGCAAGAGCAGCAAGTGCTCCCAACTACTGAGATATCTCTCCAGTCCCAGAAGAAAAGACTATTTTTAATTGGCTATGCAGGGAGGCATTATGGAGCCTTGAACTTGGTTTTGAAAGATGAAAGAAATATGGAAACTACAAAAATTTTTGGACTGAATTATGAACTGTGCAAGTTAGGGAGCAGTTCAACGATTTTCATTAATAAATCTCGTTTTAAAGTAAAATCTGACTCTAAACTAAGTATAATGAAAGGAATAAAAATATCCCAATGGGTTGAGTGAAGGAATTGAAGCAGATTGCCCACTTGTCTTGCATTTTCGTTTACACTCTTGTCTCCAGCCCAAAGTTACCAATTAAACTGACATTATTAATAATAGCACCTATTTGGTTTTCAAAAGAGTGGTTTGTAACTATTATAAGTTACACATAGAATGTAGTTCTCATCTCTCATGGAAGAAGCTTCTTTGGGAAACAGATGGAGACTTTTACAGAGACTCACAACTGGTTAAAAGGGAGACAATAAGTGTCCCTGGGATGCCCAACTCCGGTTCACACATGTGCAACACAACCCACACACCTAGGGTTAGGGACCATTGAGGAAGAGGAATAGAGTCTGTGAGAGCCAGTGGACTAGGATGCCTGGTTCTAGCTAGTGCCTTTTACACATGATAGAAAATATGCATGCATGAATTTTCAAAAATATAGTTTCCTTAACGAGACCTGCATGATGATATCAGTTGACATGCTGACATGGATGAGGGGGAGGGAATTCCAAAGGTCCTGCCCCTACTTGCAGAGCTACAAGTGATCAATGGCTGCAGAGAGAGAGGGAGGATCAGTTTCCTCCAGGGTCATACTCCCACATAGGTTGTCTAATGCCAAATGGTCAGCCTTGTATACACACACACACACACACACACACACACACACACACACACACACACACACACACTGATAAGTAGACTTGATAGATAGGTTACATATATATGCGCATGTGTGTGTATAACAAAAATAATCAAAGAAGAGGTCATAAATTAGGGAGGGATGAGGAAGCATGAGAAGAGTTTGAGGGCTATGGAGGACAAGAGTGATGAAGATACAATATTCATATATGTAGTTCTCAAAAAATAAATAAACAAGGACACCAGCAACAAAAGGTCCAAGTTGCCACTCAAGTGTTGTGCTTAAGGAACATGGTTTGAAGTTACAGGACTGATTATTTTCTCTGTCTGCCTTTGTAGTAGTGAGAGGCATGGATATTCTCTGAGGATTTCCATGTGGCAGGAAGGAGGCTGAGCTGGAAAAACACCCATATCTAGGCCCTTTGTAACTTGCTCAACATCATTTCTATCCATGGAAATCTTGCTAATCTTTAGCGATTGTCCACGGGTCTCCTTTTGAGGTCATTCTTCATAGGCACTTATGTCTCTTTTCCTGCCTGTTATAATGAACTTCGCATTACTCCAGCAGGTGGATTTTGTAGCCTACATCGTAGTCAATTGTCTTTTGAGGGCAGCAATTTTTCTTATTTGTCTGTTAGCATTCAGCAGTGTCCAACAAGTATGTAATTCATAATAGACTATGGGCAAATATTGATTAAGGTGATTCCTTAATGTTGTACAAGTTATGAATAATACAAAACAAATAAGGCAGATAATTTTACTATGTGTGTTCTTTCTTGGCTGAGTACTATATTAAAAGTTAAACAAAGGCAATTCCAACATTTCTGAGGCGTCATTCATGTTTAAGAAGTAAGAGTTGTTGTCCCCAGGAGGGTGGTCTACCCCATCAGGGATTGACTGGGAGGGGATGCTCAGGGGCTTCCTGGAGTCACTAACTTCATGCTTCTCCCCTTGTTCCTCAGTTGTCCGGGTTCACATCGAAGCTTGTTCCAGCTATCGAGAATGCTCGCAAGGATTCCGCTGGGTCTGGAGGAGGAAAGGAACTCATGGTGTTAACCCAACCTATCCTGATTGAAACCTACACAGGGCTCATGTCATTCATTGGAAACCGGAACAAACTTGGCTATTCGCTTGCTCGGGGGAGTATTGGCTTTTGAGCCTCTTTGTTACAAAGCACATCATCTGTAGATAACTGATGTGTTTAAATTAACTACTTTTTTGGATTACAATAGTTACTTTAAAATAATATTTAAAGGACTTACTTGTTAGTGTTTTAGGTAGTATAAAAGCTTGATTAGACTGGTAGACATTTAAAGTCTCATATGAGAGAAATCAAATTTCTGTAAAACCAGACTAAATACTTTACATTAAATACTCCTAATTTAAAACCTCTAGATAGAATCCATTATGCAACTTAAATTTAAATTTGCTAAAATTTAAGCTTTTGTTTTTCTGTTCCTCACATCCACAGGTACTTTCAACATTTTAGTTCTCATCCCATGAACCCTTTTTTATCCTCCATAGGCTCTCACTGGCTCCGCTATTGTAGCTGCCATTTATGAGGGCATTCTAGTCCATAGTCCTATATCTGATATTTGCCCCATGATTCCGGCTCTGCCTCATGTCTTCCAGTGATACCTATGTCAGTCATTCTGATGCTCCCTTGCTTTAAGCATTTTCCAAACCCAGATTTCTCTGTGGTATTTTTTATAATCCATCTCTGAAACCTACCAGTTTCATGGTTTGAATTCTAAGCCAAAGACATCCCATTATAGTAATACATGGGTATGTGGCATAACATTGTATCCAAGCTTAAAATACATTCTCCTAAGACTAGAGACATAACTCATTCCCATAGAGCTTGCCCAAATTGTACAAAGTCTTGAATTTGATTCTGAGCACTGAAAAGAAAAAAAAATGAACCAAAAATCAAAAGCCACCCACAGTCTCCTTCTCAATTCCATCTTTCACTGATCAAGTCTTCAACTCTTAACATGGTCTCTTAATTAGGATCTCTACTCAAGGCATTTTCAATTAGTCATTCACCTCGATGCCGTTCCTAAAGCACAATTTGATCAGAGCACTCCACAGTCGATCACTACTGTCCAATAGTTCATTCTATTTTGCAGTATTTTTTCAAGTATCTTTTAACAACATATCCTCTTCCAGTGAAATCTTTTGTGGAGTCAGTACAGGACACAGAAGAAGAGCGAGCCCTGTGGTTAGAGTGCAGATGGGACCAGCTATCTCCATTATTAGACTCCTGATCTCAGAGGGTTTGGAGGGCACCACTACAAAACATTGTCTTCATTCATTTCATATCCATTTCTTTTTCCTTTTAGTTCTTCTGGTGTCCTCCTGACTTCGCTCTAACTTTGAGCATCCCAGGGCAGCATTTCATTTCTTTTGGTTTCTTCCTTTTTAGAATTTTAAATCTCACATTTTTTAGCTTAGCCACTCTGAATGCCCATCACTGTAAACATTACTACAGGCAGCCTTTTGCTACCACTGAGACCCAAAGTTGAGATACTTACCTTGATGCTAAGGTTGAAAGTGCTAGCTGTTTTATTCTTTGGCTCCTCTGACATTTCCTTAACACTTTCTCTCTCTCTCTCTCTCTCTTTCTCTCTCTCCCTCCCTCCCTCCCTCTCTCTTTCTCTCTCTCTCTTTCTTTCTTTCTTTTTTTTCTTTCTTTCTTTTTAGAAAGCTTTCTTCCTCAGATTCAACGACTCAGGTCCAGGCAGTTATCAGTTTGGTACACACATTCAGAAACAGAACTTGGATAAATAGCCCTTATTCCATTCTGTTTACTTCCATTACTATTTTGTTCCTTTCTTCATCCTGCTCTGTCACACCTACCTCTTCCCCCAGGATGGCAAATATTGTTCAAGTCCCTAAGGCAAGGAACTTCTATTGAGACTGGGAGAGGAAATGTTGAAATCCTTAGCTGTCCTGTCAACAGTAGTGGAATGAAAAGTCATTGGCAGCGCTTCTGAAGCGGGCCTCATTGGCAAATTATTTTAATATTGTTGCCTGAAAATCCCCATATGCCTCCAGGTAGTGGCATTTACTGGCACAAGCCGCTGAAATGCCCAGCTTACTCTCTCAAGTTACCATTTAAGGATTTTCCTGGTGATTGATTGCTCTGTGCATGTCTGTCCCTTTTGTCGAGCTCAGTCAGACATTCCTAAGGGACTTTCTCTCGGACACAGTGTAGCATCCTTAGCGGAAGCTACCCAAAATGCAAGAGAGAAGGAGAGGCTGTTTCATTCGGAGATCTGATCTCTGTGTTGCATATGATGAAGAGTGAGCCCAGAGCTTCCCTGAAAACTTCCTCTAAAGATATTTGGACAAGATTGTTGACTAACACATGGGCTCTACAAAGCAGGGTTGTCCACTAAGTGAGAGGACTCAGGAATTTGAGTAGCATTTCAAGGTAAGAAAGAACATCTTTTTAGTGTCAAATATCCAAAGACTGAAGGGTTACTTCTCGAAGTATGAGCCCCAACTCACTTGATATAAAGATGACTAGAAATGATGTACACTGGGAATCGCATTGGTGTAGCACAATATCTGAAAAGTCGACACAGACCTTTAAGGCTTTGACCTGTTCTTCTCTAAATAATGGTTGCTAAACATTCAAATAATTAGAGACCTGTGTTGGAAAGAACTGAATCAATCCTGTGAGTTCCTAAAAATTGCATTAATTTCCTAATGCTTAGTTTTCTAATATCCAAACTGGAGGCAGTTTATGCTTATTTCCCAGATGTGGAGCCCCAGTGACATGGTGTCCAACCCACCCACTGACACAGAAAACATCAAGTTCCTGCCTATATAAAGTGACTTCTGCTGAAGACTCGGGGGGCAGCAGCTGGGATAATTCAATTCAGTTCCCGACGGGAATTATTTCTTTGTCACATGAAGCTACTATTATCTGATGTGTGGTGTTCTCATTGAGTTCTTTGTCCTTATGCTCAACTGATAGCCACAGACCAGGGGAGCCACATGTGCACCCCAGCTCTTCCCTCTGTCATCGGAAATCTTCCACTAACGTTTCCCAAATGGGAATCATCAATCCAATTTGAAACTGGACTGGATACAAGAACCTTAAAACTACAACGTCACCATAATCCTGTGTTGCTTGGCCGTCTTTTTATCTGATCTTTGTTTCTTTCAGTTTTTCCCAATACAAAATTTCTAATAAGACTTCCTTCGGAATCTGTTGGAATCTCTATCAATAGAACCCTCAACATCTTCTGATGTGTCTCAGAAAAAAAAATCTCCTCCTATTGACTCAGAACAAGCCGTGTCTACCTGCCAGCTCTTTCATTTAAAAACGTGTTGACTGGTGTAGTGTGGTTTAACTCTCCAAGCCAGGGTGGGGGCATTTGGGAACAGAAGTGAAGCTGCCACATTTCTTAGTTTACAAGGAAGGGCTGGTCATGGTCAACATGCCTGACTTCCCAGGGGTCAACTGGGCTCTCTGGTGCCCTGACTTGTGCTCATCTTTTAACATAGAAAGGAGAAACTAGTTTATGTGTTGGCCGCTTCCAGATCCTTTGCCTTGAGTCCCAGTTTCATGGTCCCTTTGTTGAAATATTACTCAAGGAACCACTTTACAGAGCCCTGGGGCTAAGGAAGGAGAGAAACCTGCCAAACCAATGCCTTCATTTCACAGAACATGAAGCACAAGCCTAGAAACTAAAAAAAAAAAAATGCTTTAAAAAAGACAGTGAATTCTTGGCAACGCTGGGTTTAGACCAAATTCTCCAGTTCCTATTTTTGACCCACAGCTCTATCCAATGTAGCACCTCCATTCCCAGAGACAATTTCATTGCCATCCTTGTATCATATACAGTTGGGTTAATTCTAAAGTGAGAAAACAATAGGCCACAGTTGTTTAGGGGGGATTTCCAGAAGTTGCCTTTATTTTCGTAAAGGCTAAGGTCACTCATGGAACACTCTGACTTCCTATCTGATCAAAACGCCCAAACAAAGCTGCGGAAGCCAGCGGAGCCAGCAGATGTTTGGTAAGGTAGCTTTACCTCTGCCTGGCATTTTGTAGGGCAGCAGAGAGAGGGCAAACGTATTAAATTTAGGCTTAAAAGCTCCTTAGAAATTCTTTGCACACAAGAGACCACGTTGGAGAAAAGAAGATGACTTATGCCAAAGGGAAGAAAGAGAGAGGCTAATGCCTGTGGTTTTCAAAGGTTAAGAACAACAACACACACAAAAAAAGCCCAAGTATTTGCACAGGGATGAATGCTCACTGGCTTTTGGCCAACAATTATACAAGGGCTTGTGCCCACATCCTGTAGCTGTGGTTTAGGGACGCTGCTCATGAGTGACTTCTTATGCTCAGTGACAGGAAACTTTAGTCACCGATGTGTAAACTCACCTCTGGTCCGCACCTCCCACAATGAGCTCTGAAGACACGTTGGGGACAAGCCTCCAGATTTCCTTGCAGATACCAATCCCCTAAGGAAGAACTCCATTGGAAAGTGATTGCGGCCTTTTCAATAATTATTCTATCTGGTTATGGCAGCCCCTTAAGATAATGCTGCAACGAAAAGGGGGAAGTATGATATTGTCTGCTAGACTCTCTTTAGCCTCCAAATCCAAGACAAATGGTAAGCCACATTTCACTTCAGGGATGCATCCAAGACGAAATTCAATGCATTAAAGCCATGCGGCTGCTTTTCCACCTCTGTTCGATGCCTCTTATGCTATTTCACACTCCAGTCCAAGATTTCTTACCAAATATTTAAGATGTCTCCATTTCAGTGACACCAGATGGAAGGTGCAAGCTTGGATTAATTCATTTGAATGAGTCTATGAGGTGTCTTCATGTTGTAGTATGTCTTTGGGAATGCATTGGAACTGAATTCGCCACACCATCAAGTCGTTTCCTGTATCATGTCCACAGTGCTAGCTCGTGCAACTCAGAAATTCATTCTTTCCCTTCCCTTTATACCCTCTTCCCTCTTTGTGGAACACGTGGAATGTTCCAAGGGGCCTCGCAGGTTATCTTGTTCAGCCTGCTCCTTGGTTCAAGGAGACACTCAAGCAGTGTAAGTTGATAGACAATTTCTGCACAAATGTCCCTGTTTATAGACTCCACCCCCTTTGTTTTCTCTTCTGTTTTCTTTGCTCTGCTTTGCTCTTTATTTTTATTTTAGCACTTAGAACTGGACCCATGTCTCAAAGCAGGCCAGGTAAGCACTCCACCTCTGAGTAGCTTTAGCCCAGTCTATTTTCTAAAGCAATTAATTCTAATAATAACCTATATCAAAGATGATTTCTCTGACTATTGGACTCACGTTTCTCTTGGAAAATGTATTGAGACAGCATCCCTCTGTAGCCTAGGCTGACCTTGAACTCACAGCAA